GGGACTCGATCCCAGGACCCTGAGATCATGACCTGAGCTGAAGGCAGCGGCTTAACCCACTGAGCCACCCAGGCGCCCCTCGTTTTGAGTTTTACCAAAAATTCCTGAGGCCCTAGACTTAGGGTGCGTATTAGGACCTTCCCTTAGAAGAATATGGTAGAAGATTTCTAGTTCAAAATGGTGCCTGACAAGCTGTCCTTAGTGTCATGATGTTCACCAACATGAAATCTGGGCATGTCTTCTTTTTTTCAGTATCAAATATTTAAAATAATTTTACTACTACTTATAGTAATATGATTTGTGAAAAGGACTCATCTAGAATACTCAGAAAATACCTCCGAAAATTACTCTCTAAAAGGAGACGTGCCTGGCTGGCTCAGCCAGTGGAACATGTGACTCTTGATCTCAGGGTTGTTAAGTTCGAGCCCCATACTGTGTATTACTTAAAACAAAATCTTTTTTTTTTTTTTTAAAGATTTTATTTATTCATTTGACAGAGAGAGATCACAAGTAGACAGAGAGGCAGGCAGAGAGAGAGAGAGGGAAACAGGCTCCCCGCTGAGCAGAGAGCCCGATGCGGGACTCGATCCCAGGACCCTGAGATCATGACCTGAGCTGAAGGCAGCGGCTTAACCCACTGAGCCACCCAGGCGCCCCTCGTTTTGAGTTTTACCAAAAATTCCTGAGGCCCTAGACTTAGGGTGCGTATTAGGACCTTCCCTTAGAAGAATATGGTAGAAGATTTCTAGTTCAAAATGGTGCCTGACAAGCTGTCCTTAGTGTCATGATGTTCACCAACATGAAATCTGGGCATGTCTTCTTTTTTTCAGTATCAAATATTTAAAATAATTTTACTACTACTTATAGTAATATGATTTGTGAAAAGGACTCATCTAGAATACTCAGAAAATACCTCCGAAAATTACTCTCTAAAAGGAGACGTGCCTGGCTGGCTCAGCCAGTGGAACATGTGACTCTTGATCTCAGGGTTGTTAAGTTCAAGCCCCATACTGTGTATTACTTAAAACAAAATCTTTTTTTTTTTTTTTTAAAGATTTTATTTATTCATTTGACAGAGAGAGATCACAAGTAGACAGAGAGGCAGGCAGAGAGAGAGAGAGGGAAGCAGGCTCCCTGCTGAGCAGAGAGCCCGATGAGGGACTCGATCCCAGGACCCTGAGATCATGACCTGAGCCGAAGGCAGCGGCTTAACCCACTGAGCCACCCAGGTGCCCCGAAACAAAATCTTTTTGAAAAAAAAACCCAAGAAACAAAAGGAAAGTTTGAGAAACGTTGGAGTCTTCCATATGTTATAAAAAGATATAGACTCTATGAAACAAACAGTCATATGGTAAACTAGACAGAAAAAAAAAAGCAGTAGATATTTTTTCATTGACTGACATTTCATACACATAGGCTAAAGAATAAATACCAGTAGAATTAGAAGCAGAATGTGTCCCCTAAAACATTAAAGAGGAAAAAAAAAACAAGTTTATATAAAAGATTTTAAAAAGAAAACACAAAGTATAGAACAAAATAATATAAGTGAAACCAATATGTAGATCATAAATATAAATGGATTAACTCCTTTGAGAAAGACAAAGATTTTCTTTCAGAGTGGAACAACAATAATCCAAACCAAAACCCAACTGTATTTAATTTATGTGACAGACACACAGTGATTCACAGATGTTCAAAGTAGCTGCAAATGATACCATTAAGAAAGTGAAAGGAGGGGGCCTGGGTGGCTCAGTTGGTTAAAGCCTCTGCCTTTGGCTCAGATCATGATCTCAGGACCCTGGGATCAAGCCCCACATTGGGCTCTTTGCTCAGTGGGGAGTCTGCTTCCTCCTCTCTCTCTCTGCCTGCCTCTCTGCCTACTTGTGATCTCTCTCTGTCAAATTAATAAATAAAAAATCTTAAAAAAAAAAGTGAAAGGACAGTTCACAGAATGGGTGAAAATATTTGCAAATCATACATCTGACAAATAACTTGAATCCATGTAAAGATCTTGTAGAACTAAACAATAAAAAGACAGCCCTATTTAGTTATTTATGTAGTATGCATGCACAGCAGCAGGGAGGGGCAGAGGGAGGTTAGAGAATCTCAGGCAGGCACCACAAGTCGTGTGGAGCCTGTTGCAGGGCTGGATCTCACAACCCTGTGATCACAGCCCAAACCAAAGTCAAGAGTTTCACTTAACTGGTTGAGCCACCCAGGCACCCTAAGCCCAATTTTAAAATGGTGAAGATTCTGTCACTATTTGAAGATGACATCCTACTATACTTAGAACACCCTGAAGACTCTATCATAAATCTGTTAGAACGGATAAATGAATTCAGTAAAGTTGCAGGATACAAAATTTATATACAGAAATCTGTTGCATTTTAATACATTAATAATGAATTAATTCTACTTCCGAAACCAATAATGCACTGTATGTTAACTAAGTAGAATTTATATAAAAATAATGAAGTAGCAGAAAGAGGAATTAAGAATATACTTCCGCTTATAATTGCACCCAAAAAAATAAAATACTTAGGAATAAACCTGACCGAGGTGGTGAAAGACCTGTATTCTGAAAAAAATACACAACAGTGATGAAAGAAATTGATGACAACACAAATGGAAAGATATTTTATGCTCATGGATTGTAAGAATTAATATCACTAAAATGTCCATATAACCAAAGCAATCTACAGATTCAATGCAATCCCAATCGAAATACCAATAGCATTTTCACAGAAGTAGAACAGATAATCCCAAGATTCATAAAAGACCTCAAATATCCAAAGCAATCTCGAGAAAGAAGAAAACAGCTGGAGGTATCACAATCCCAGATTTACATAGTTTTAATAATCAAACGGTATAGTACTGGCACAAAAATAGGCACAGAGATCAATAGAGTATAATAGAAAGCCCAAAAATAAACCCACCCTTATATGGTCAATTAATCAATGACTTTGGAGGCAAGAATATACAATGGGGGAAGGCTAGTCTCTTCAAAAAATGGTGTTGGGAAAACTGGACCACTTTCTTATGCCATACACAAAAATAAGTTAAAAATGAATTAAAGACCTAAATGTGAGACCTGAAACCGTAAAACTCTTAGAAGAAAATATAGGCAGTAATCTCTTAATACATTGGCCTCAGCAACCTATTTATGGATGTGTCTCCTCAGGCAAGGGAAACAAAAGCAAAAATAAATTATTAGGACTACACAAAAATAAAAAGCTTTTGGACAGCAAAGGAAGTCACCAACATAAGAAAAAGGCGATCTACTGAATGTGACAAGATATTTGCAGATGATGTATCTTTTAAGGAGTTAATATCCAAAATACATAAAGAAGTTACAAGCGCAACAGGAAAAAACCCAAACAATCCAATTAAAAAATGGGCAGAGGACTTAAAACCTACAGATGGCCATCAGACGTATGAGAAGATGCTCAGTCTCACTCATCATTAGGGAAAGGCAAATCAAAACCATAATGAGATATCACCTCTCACCTGTCGAAATGCCTAGTGTCAAAAAGACAAGAAGGGCACCTGGGTGGCTCAGTTGATTAACCATCCGACTCTTGGTTTCG